CTTGCAATCGAATTAGCGGCAAACAGTCCTATCGATTTCTTCTTGTTCTCTGTTATTTAATAATTAATTTCCATCTTCTATTCTTGGTAGATCCTTTCCTCCGCTCATTGACTGATTCATGTCCTGTGGGTATTTCTCTCCACTCCATTCATCAAGTCCGCCATTGAAGACTATTACGAAGAAGAAATTATCCGGTAAGCTAAGCCTACTATAGCCATTCTGGAAATTGTTATCATTCATCGATAGGAAAGGATACTTGTATTTAATATGGGTCCTAGCCCAAAGGATGATGAAAAGAGAGTATCTAGACTAGTATCAATCCTACTTGAGTTAAGGAAAAGAGGTATCCTATCGTTGGTGATGGACACTAATGATCACTACGGCTATTGCTTAAGCGATGACAAAGCCATATTGTTCTCTTTCCAATGTCCACATCGCCATGATGGCCAGCAAGGGGATGACAATCTATTTTCAGAGAGGGTTGGGATAAAATCATTTCCTTGATCGTTGAATAAAATATCAATATCATTTTAACTCGATTCAAATCACCATTGCCTTCTCTACGTCTTAGCGTAGGATAGGATTTCATCTAGCAGGTATCAGTTACGTATTATTAAATATCTTATCATCGATCATCGATGAAAGCTATCCATGCTTCAATGTTGATGATAACTCATTTAATGTCAATCTATTCAGTATTTTCTAATTGAAAAATAGTATTGATAATACACCATTGCCAATTCTCTTCATTGAGTTCGCCCTGATTGAGCCATCATAGTATATTTGATCATCTTTGTTGGCCCTAATGGATGGAGACTTTCGTTCAAACATAATATTGGTAGGACGGTTTCTGTCCAACAATCCATTGGCCACTGTTAAAATCATCTACTAGCCATCGTTATTTTTGTTCCAATATGATTTCATAATTTACTGCAGTTTGGCAAAGGAAATTGTACAAGCCTTGATGTGCTTTTCCTTAGCAATGACCGATGTTGTCGACTAATTGCAATAGTAACCATTTATTTTTCTTTCGCCACTGTGTACATTAGTCCAATAATTAGAATCAATCTATTCTTCCATCGTCACTTTATTGATCCCACATAACGACTCGATGATGGCGCCACCCGCATATGGTAACATTTTATGGCCAATAGCCACCATGATCAAGCCATCCTAGTGATTGTGGATAACTTTCGCATTGAATTTGAATGATCTAAAACGATAGCAAGCTTTTATCGACGTGTTCGGTACCGGCACAGGATTCTCAATGCCATTCGATCCATTTTATCACGTCCTGTTTTGCTACCATCTACCCTAGTGATAAAATGATTCTTTATTTGCTTCGATTGCTCTTCCATGACTTAATTGGATTATTTTTCTATGATACTGTATAAGTTAATTACATTGATTAGTGTTGAATAGTAACGAAGCTAAACCAGAATGAGTTATTACCCCTTGATCCTTTTCAGTCAAAGTTGGAAATGATAGCAGTACTAACCCCAACCGCGACCAATTCATGAATCATGCTACTCCAATCGCAGTTTCTTTTTCTACCCATCAGAAATGCCGGTAGTCTATTTGCGATCAAATCATGGCCACCTTGTATCATATAATCAACAATTCTTTCTTGACAATTTGCTTTGCTCTTCACGATAATCACACACGTTGAAATTAGATCGCCGATGAGCATGTTGGATGGTATTTTGCCTCCATTCGGCTATCTAATAACTTGCTTCTCTAGACAGAGACTGCTGGAGAATGGCTAAAATCATAGTCACCTTGGGTCAACAATTCATTCTTGACAATTTGCTTTAGCAGTATCCTTTGCTTTGCTCTTCATGCTAAACACACTCGTTGAAATTAGATCGTCGATGAGCTTGTTCGATGCTATTTTGCCTCCATTCGACTACTTCATAACTTGCTTTTCTAGTCAGCGACTGCAGGAGAATTGCTGACTTGCCTGTTTTAAAGGCTAAAATAAGCATCCATTTCCATAGACGACAAGAGAGTAGCAAGTCTAAGTTATTTTCTCGAAAATGACCTTAGTTATATCCAATGATTTGCTCCTAATGGATAACAGAGTTTTACAAATGATAATATAGCGATCGTAGTGGAGTTGTAAGTTACCAGGTATCATTTTGGGCAGACTTGATTGGCTAAAGTTTTTCGATTGGATCCTAAAGTTAGATTCCTCTAGTAATGGCGAAAACAGATCGTTGATGATCTTTTGGCGCCATTAGCCTTCTATCGCATGATTTGATCTTAATGTTAGACTCTTATACAGAAATGAGCTTGTAATGACGAAAGCAATTCGTTCTGATGTTTTTAGCTCGATATTAGCCTTATTTGTATCGCATAAATTGATCCTAAGGTTAGACAATCATTCTGCAATTAGTTTATAGTAACGAAAGCACAACGTTGAGGACATTTTGGCCTTACCCCTATCGCATGATTCAATCGTAAAATTCTGCAATGTCCAAGTTTTAAGATTAGTTTATAGTCAGGAAAGAAGTAAGATAGGATTGAATCCGTATAGTCCGTATAGTCTGGTTTACAGTCCAGAAAGCAGCTACAGGTATGATTTAGATCCAAAATTAGACGCCAGTTTTGGATTTGGTTTAGAGTTAGGAAAGCAGTCAAGGGTATCGTCTGATCTTAAATTCCAGATAAGTTTTGGACTTGGTTTAGAGTCAGGAAAGAAGTAAGGGCATAGTTTGATCTTAAATTGGAGGCAAATTTTGAAATTAGCTCATAGCCAGGAATGACCATCGTGTTTTAGCCCACTGGAACGTTAATCATGCTATTCGTATCATAGCTTGTAAAATAAGATTAGACTTAAAATCATGACTGAGAATGTAGCCTACCTCACTAATCGACTCTTGATCGAATAAGATACACGTACTAAACTATCAAATGTACTTTCTTCACTCATTCAATTCTATCTCTAAAAATAGACGTATTTAGGCGCTAGCTGCCATCATGCGGATACCAGGAGGCTTTCGGCTCAAGCGGATCATTGCTATTAGTGTCCTTTTTACTATCATCGTTGTTTCCTTTAACCTTGCTATCTTCGGTAGCCATAATAAGCAGTCGATTAAAGCCAACGATGCTGCAAAGAAAGCGATCAACATCCAGGCTAAAGATGATGAAATGCCCAATTTAAACCTAGAAGAAGATCCTGATGAACCAGTTGTTAATATTAAGATTCATGCAGACAGCAAAAAAAGAAATTCAGACAAAATTAAGCGCAACAACGACGATTTGGACAGCCAAAACCAAGAACGAAATCATGCATTAGTTATTCCTCATGCTGGACTTCAACGCAATAAAAGGAAGAAGAAAAAGTTTCTTACACGTCTTCAAAAAATGGATGCAATAGGCAGAGAAAGCGAAGACGACAATCTTGATGGATTGAACAACGATGAAAATATTGATATACAACAAATGCCAGCAGGAGATGATCCACTCCGCTCATTGCATCGCGGTGGGAATAAGCAGGAGAAGCAGCGAAGGTAAGCAACAAATTTGAATCATCATTTTCATAGGTAAGAAAAGGATACAGTAAATCAAAGGCTTAATTTGATATTCCTAGGCATAACAACGAAGACGATCCTTTAATAGAAAAACGAGGCCATGGTATGAAGCATGATGATGAAGACGAAATTGGGATTCAAATGAATCCCTTTCAACATGAGGAAGGAGAGGAAGCTGCCATCAAACCACCACACCTATTCAGAGCCCCTTCCAAAAAGAAAAGGCGATTTCAACGTGGTGGTAAGCATGCGGATGAAGACGAACCATTTTCTGGTCAGCAACGTCAAGGCGTTCAAGCTAAAAATAATCAAAATGCTCCTGTTGAAATTAATCCATTCGATCCACTGAACGAAGGCCTTGGATTGGATAGTAATCCAATCATCAAGATACAACAACAAATACATAAAAAAACTGCTGGAAAGAATGGAAATCATCATCCTCTTCAAGCAAATAAAAATCAAGACAGTCCAAATGGCCAATCTTCTCAACATGAAGGAGAGAAAATCAATAACCAGAATGGCAAAGATATAGCCGAAGATCCTATAGATAAAATAGAAGATATCGAAGATCCATTCTTACAAGAGCATTTGAAACACCAATTTAAAGGCTATAAGAAAGATTTCAAGGAGCCTAACCATAAGAAAAAGAAACAAAGTATTGACAATCAGCACAATGATGAGCAAAATAAGATAGAATCGGATGAGGAAATACAGCCAGTCCATATGCAAGATGATGCCAATATCGGACAAGAGGGTAGTAATATGGAAGGTAGAGATGACCCAAAAAATGAAAAGCAACCCCATGGAAAAGGAGTAAGGGACATGAAGGATAGGCAAAGTATGAAGAAAAAGAAAGATAGTTCTGAGAAGAATCACAATAGCAAACGGTTATCCATTCCTAAACAAGATATGAAGGAGAATCAAGATGGTATTGGCGGTGAAAATGTCCATCCATTATCAGATCAATCTCGGCAAGGAAGGGTGAAGAAATATCGTCGTCGTCGTCGTCGTGGACATCGACAATCCCATCCTCTAAGAAGTGCTCGAGTATTACAAAAGAATAGAGCGCAAAATAAATATTCAAGGCAGAATCAGGATCAAGAAAGGATGGAAGCGAAGAACCGCAATGAGCCAAACCATGATGGAAATGAAGAAGCCGTCGTGAACAGCAATCATGCTATCCAACGCAAGAACGATCATTCCCAGGACGATGAAAGCGGACCATCTAAAAGTAAATTCGATTCCAATTCATTTACAAAAGATGAAGAAGAAATTAAGCAACTTCAAGCTGAACAACATTTAATTGAACAACAATTAAATAAGGCCAAAAGCTACGTCGGAGATGATGAAAGGATGCCAATCCATCGGAAAACCAACAGTATTGGCCAAACGCAATCGAAAAATAATTCCGAAATGAAAGTCATTTTATTATGGACAAAATATTATGAAAGAAGCTGGAAAATCGATATGGATTTTACTGTCGAGTTACCCTTAGGGAGGACTTATTTTAATCGATATTGCAAGATTAAAAATTGCTTCTTAACCATTAATCGATCGGCCTATAAAAAATCGCATGCTATCGTCTTCAACGATCGCGATTTGCCTGATCATATTGCTCATATGCCCTATTTTAAAGATCGTCGGCCATGGCAACGTTGGGTGTATTACAATTTTGAATCGCCCTACTATGCTCGAGGTTATAAGCCATTTTTCATCAATGCAGGCATGTTTAACTGGTCTATGACCTACCATCATAATGCCGATATTGATATTCAATATGGCCACGCTGTTCAGCGGCCAATTCCACGCGCAACCCTACCCGATTATCATGGTAGAAAAGATGTACATGTTACTTGGGCAGTAAGTCACTGTCTTAATGCCAGAATGAAATATGTTCAAGCTTTATCGAAATATATTTCCATCGACATTTATGGTATTTGTGGCAATAAGACATGCATTGGAACGAATAGGCATTGTTGGAAGACAGTATTTAGTCGATCCATGTTTTATTTGTCCTTTGAAAATTCCGTATGTGCCGAATATGTGACGGAAAAGTTATGGAATCCATTACTTTATGGGGTTGTCCCGGTTGTCTTGGGAGGCGCAGATTATCGCAAAATTGCACCACCCAAATCGTATATTGATGCTCGTGATTTCCCTTCTGTCAAGGATTTAGCTGAATATTTGCATAAAGTTAGCCGTGATAAAAATCTTTACAACTCCTACATGAAATGGAAATTAAACTGGAAGATTGTTGTACCAAGACATTGGTGTAATTTATGTAACGCACTGCATGATCCTAATCGGCCGCCTAAAGTTTATACCACATTAAGTCGCGATTGGGATGGTCTAAATCGCCAATGCCAACCTTATCCAGATCCTTACGAGTATCTGCCTAAAAAGGATTAAATTATTTCTATGGTAATAACACTAAGACTGCTTGGAGTTGGATTGTCATAATTTTGTCGTTGGCTATATTTATGGATTGCATAAAACACCATCATGGAGTTGCTTGTAGCTTTGTGATACTTGTTGAAACTTTGAACAATTTGCTTTTGCTGTAATACTTGGATTGAACTAGAAATCAACACATCATTTGTGATATCGCATTGTAAACTACCTCGACATAAGCTTTCAGTGAATGTACCTTTCTATCCTCATGTTTGGAATGCTTACACCATGCATGCTAGAAGAACCTAAACTGATTGAAAAAGCACCACGGAAGCGCTGGTAGCTTTGCCATACTTGTTGCAACTTTAGACAACTTGCTTTTGCTATCCTAGTTGGATTGAGCTGTAAACCAACGCATCATGGAGGATGTCGAATTGTAAACCACTCCAATACAAGCTTTCAATGAATGTATTCTAACTGTCATGTTTTTAATGTTTCCATCCCATATTCTAGAAGGACCAAAGTTTATTTAAAAAGTGCCACAGAAGCCCGGGTAGCTTTGCGATACTTGTTAAAATTTTGGACAATCTACGTTGCTCGAACTGTAAATCAATACATCATCAATGATATCCTATTGTAAACTATGCCAACATAAGTTTTCCATGGTGGTATTCTAACCGATCTATCCTCAGGTTTTTGATGTTGACATCATGCATGCTAGAAGGACTCAAGTTTATTTAAAAAAGCGCCACGAAGGCACTGGTAGTTTTGCAATACTTGTTGAAATTTTGGATACCTTGCATTTGCTATAGCAGTTAAATTGAACTGTCAATCAATGCATCATGAATGATGTCGTACTGTATATATAACACCAACACAAGCTTTAAAATGATTAATGTATTCTAACTGATCTATCCTCATGTTTTTGATGTTGACAACATACTTTGTTAGTAGAACCCAAATTTATTGAAATGATTTCACTTTAAAATTTGTACAGGTTTGATGAGCAATTACGCTCATCCAAATCTTTCTTGTCTCTGTTGAAACTGTTATTGACGTCTTTTTGACAAAGAAGGAATAAACTTCCAACTTTCTTTTTATTGATATCCATCTTTTTCTACTCTACTGCTGCGGTTTTATAAAATGGATATCAGACTGTTGATTCCCTTGCCTTTCTAACCTGTACTGATGACTGTTTGCTTACGAGATCGATCGATAATGACTCTTGCTGATGATTGTAGTTCTCTGCATATCATATAAATTGCTCCAAAGCTGTGCAAAAATGCAAAAACAATCGCAATTTGTGCGCTCCATTTCAAATGCAAATAGTTGTAGCCTATTCGCAATGAAACTTTAAAACTAAAGTGAAGACCTTGATTAAGTGATGCAATTCGTGAACACTAGTATCAAAAAACTTGTAGTCTGATCAACCGTATAGCCGCTAGAACAGTCTAGTCATCGCTTGTTGATGTCGATAGAAGGATAACATTGCTTTTAGTGATCAATTTAGAAATGTTGAATTAAAAAAAGTAAATAAGTAATAGCATGCCAGCAGTTATCTTCCCTGATAATGAGAATTATTATTAGCTCTTCACCTTTCATGCAATACTGATAGTTATAACCAGAAAATTTTCCAGTGCATTGAATTAATCATTCCGCAGGTATTTCAGCAAGCCATCGCAGAAGAACATGATACGATGATCTCTCATTCTGAGTAATTGTATATCAAAGTGATCCAATCCCTACGTTCAACAAACAAAAAGTTGCTAATTTAATCGAATTGACGGCAATTGAACCCGATATTCTACATAGCCATCACTTAAGCGAATTATACCGGAAGAAGATTTAATTGTTAGCCATTTCTCTTCCTTCATGCTTTGTTACTGTAACAAGATCAAGAATCTGAGATTTTGAGCATTCCTTCCCTTTAGTCTACTTTATTTGGAAGCCAAGCGCGATATCAGACACACGTTAACGAGACATAAGAACTGCGACAACAAATCAGCTCTAGTGCCAACATCACTTTAATAGCATATCCTAATGCACGTCAACATTTGTTGCATGTGATCTTAATCTAGTACAGTAAATAAGGTGTGGAGAAGCCGTAAATAATATTGCACGATATCTAGGATTCCCCACGTTGTATGGCGCTTACACTTTAAGGTAACTAGCAGTAGTTTACAGGAAAAGCGATGTCACGACAGTTACTAAGTCCAATTCATTTACAATCCCAGTAGACTTTCAAACGCCATTTCATTCAATGAGGCGATTGCTCTTAGGTTATTTTTACAGTAATCGATACCATACCTTATAAAATAGTACAGTATAGAAGAAAAGATGGCGACATAGCGGGGGTAACTTAAAGATATGATCACTGCCAAAGTATTTTCTATGGTAAAGTAAGAATAGTTACATACTAAAAACTAGAAAGGACTCTGCTTTATTTCCTTTACTATGAATCAACGGGACATCTCATATTTCTTTTCTCTCTAATCCAATGGCCACCCAATCCTTGCCAAGTTGAATTCTAGTATGGCCGCCATCGACCGTCTATGTATTCTGTAAACACACATAAAATGACAAGGTAGGAAATTGAATAGGGAAGGCATTCCTACGCCAATGAACTGAATACCATCTCTGTTTGAACCACACAATGCATGGGAGTAATTTGTAACAGCAGGTATCTGTTTTAACACAATATAAGAAAATTTTTTCTGCCAATATAATGTATGGTAATTGTTTGACTACTGTTTATCCTATTTTATCGCATTGAATGTTTTGGCCTACGCATCGTATTTCTATATGCGATCTTCCGAACGTGCCTAAAGGGAATTGGCCCTTGAATATATAAAAAAATTTATCCATTTGAAAGAAGAAATGCAATTTTCAAGCTATGAATGTCTACCAATCCGTCTCGTAACTTGTTAAGGTCTCTTTCTATATGATTTTATCTACTTCCTTCAATAAACTAGTTTTTCTTTTCTCCATGTTATTCATGACTTACTTAGCTTATACTGGCTAGCGTAAATTGTCTTTGACCTAGGGAAAGGCTTGACTTGTTAATTCATAAAGACTGGTGTAGGAAGAGGGCATTTACCTTCATCTTTGATGATACTGTTTGGACTATAAAATCCATCAATCATCTGTAGTTAGGCTTCTTTACTGAAATTGAATCCATCAACTTTTAAACTTTCAAAGTAACTCGGCAATGACTGCATTGCCGAATTGATAATTAATACAAAGTAAAAATGTTAGTTATGCCACCTTAGAATATTGTTAGGCAATTCAATTCTAATCTTAATAGAGGCTATTTTTCGAACTCAAGATTTCATGTCATTTTTCGTCAGCATAAGCAATGAATCCGACTATCGAATATTAAGCCAGTTAACTAAGAAGGTTGTGTGTGGTAAGAGTTTATTCTCCTTTAGAAATACTTTTATTTCATTTCTTTCCTTTTCAGTTGGTTTATTAATTTATTAGTGACATATGCTAACTGTTATTGTGGATTCATTATAGCGTGATGACATAAAATAACCTAAATTACGGATTCTTTGCAATATGACGATGACACTTGATGACTTTACTCCATCATAATCCGATAGCAGATTGAGTTTATTGATTTTTATCGAGATGATATAGAGATGATTAATTTTGTTGTGATTCATCAATCGTTCTGGATGATCGATCTGTCAGTTAGCGCTAGGTTAGAATAGACAGCAAACAGCAAGCTACAATTTTTTTCCTACTATATGATTGAATTGAATGCCAGCATAGTTTTGCTTCTATAAGCTAGCTAGTATTGATGGTTAATACGAGAAATCATATAGACATATTCTAGACTTATGTCTATGTATATTTGCATTCTAAGCAGTTATTAACTGTACCTGGTCTAAAATCAGAATGCAATGTTGTTACCAATCAAAATTTGTAACATGAAAGTTAAACTGACTCGAGGATCTCAAAAAATGACTACCACTTTTGGGTACTTTAATCCACACTTTACTATTGCATCAACATCGCTCTTTTATTCGTTTAAAATTACTTTAACATTTAAAACAGGTTAGAACTAGTCATTCAGTCAGATGATGCCAACTCATATAAAATGTCGCCATCAAGACCTTATTACTTAAACACTAGTCTATTTCTTCAAATTACTGAATATGTATTAAGATTTCCCAAAGAAATTCAAGATCATGGATCACAATGAACTTATAAATTGTATTACAGGAAAACTGATATTTTATCTAGGCAAACATTTACTATCATTTAAATGTTCCTGACTGGCGATCCCGTGTATTCCCATAACTATGATCTCCAAAGAAGTTCAAGATTAGTTCTAAATGATCCCAAGCTTCATTATTTAATTGTAGGTTACAATAGGACATGATTTTCACTATGGGTGGGTTAAATTAATTTAATTCCAGACCACCTGCAAATAGCAAGCAAGCAAAGTAAATCTAAATTAGTCATGTAAGAAAAATGAATTACCACTGAAAACTAAACTGCAAGTCTGCAGTCAGGCTTGTCCTCCTTAACACTCACCGATAATACGTTTCTCCATTCTGACCATCTCCTGTTCTTACTGACTATTAAGAATTCCTATTTTACGCTTATTTCCCAATTTTTTGTTGTTGTGGTTAACCCTGTAATTATAAGCCCGTTAAAATCTCTCTATAAAATAGACAGTGATGTTTCTTTCTGAGGACAGTCATAAGTTGAACTATCGCTCGATAATTGTCTGCATAGTGATGAATGGCTATGAATTAATCTTGCAGGAGTTAAGGTCGACAAAACAACGAATTTGATAAGTTAATCGTGATACATATCTATAGTTAGCGATACAGTTCTAGCCAAAGTAGATCCTGATAATCCATCCCAAATTGGAATATAAAATAAAATCTCCTTGATTGGACTAAATGAATATGAGTGTTGATTTCAATCTATTTTCATGCAGTCGAATGCTGTTGGGACAAGCATTATCGTCAATAATAATTGCATCAAAAATTTAGAATCAATCATTGAAATAGTAGATAACTGTCACAAACCAGCTTCGTGATAAATATAACGTACAACAAATCTCTAAATGACTATAATCTCCGGGATTCAGTATCCCTTAACTACCTGACAAGAATTTAAACGCCTTTGCTTCTACGTTAAAATAACTCTAAAACTCTTCGTTTGTTCAACTATCTGCCGAGCTTAAATACCTTTCGGCAGCAGCTATCATATATGAGTCAAAGCAGATCATGAAATTGAGCTCATATCGGATAGCTGAATTAATGCAGACATATTCATAATTTTGGACTTTTACTGAACGATTCTAGATAATTAGACTACAGTATGTCCACCACACACAATTATTTATAGTATCATCTATAATTGAATATCTTCAGGATATTCATCACAAGCGTTACTAGACACAACACTATAATCAATTAATATTAATTACTTTACGAGAACTCTTACTACAATACAGCATAATTTACTGCAACAAAATCATAACTACCGTAGTTCTTACTGAAGCCATTATTAGTTATCTCCATGGATAAATGTTTAACACTAAATTCAGTCATTTACTCTTCACGGTGGTTCATACCGTGACAATAACATTCTTGGCTAATATTCCTGATCGTTTCACTCATTTGAATCCAAATATTTACATCTAGGATATGGCTTCTTTTCGCCAGGGTCAATTGCTGATGGCAGGTGTTTGTATTTTGGCGCTTATCTATTTCTTTTGCTATTCAAATATACGAACATCGATAGGTCCTTTTAAATTGATCGGCTTTTCAGCTACTACTTCTACCCTCTTTGATACGGATGCGGCCAAAAGTGATCGATCAGCGCCTGTTTTAAAGTCTCATTTACCAATAGTGAGCAAAAATAAAACAAGTAAGAACAAGGAGCAGCACAAATTGCCTGATGATAAAATGAAATCAAACTTTCCTACAAAAGAGATGATACCTACAAGGCAAACTGTGCCAGGGAAAGGTGGCAAGAAAAGGAAGCCGAATGTTCGTCCAATCATTTTCCAGTTGCCTAAAAAAATACCAGAAGCAAAATCTAGTTCACGCAAGATTGCCGTCAGCTCCAAATCCGATGGAGTTCAAAATGCCCACAAGCATATTACTGAAAAGATAGATCCAATTATTTCTCCTACTAAAGTGATAGATATAACTCAACCTAGTCGACGTAAAAAAATTACGACCAATTCTTCATCTAAAGTACTTCAAAATACCACTAAAAGAACTCCTAAGAAATTAAGCCCAGTCACTCTCTCAGTATCTAAAGTAACAGATAAAACCCAATTGGGCTCAAATATGCCTACAGCAACTACCAAACCTCCCTTGAAAATGGTTCAGAGGAATAAAAACACGACAAAGGGCATGATCAAGTACGATAAACAAGTGGTTAAGGAAAAAATTCAAGAAAATCGCAGCCCAGAATCAAACCGATCTACAGCCATTCTCAAATCAACATCGACAACTGTTACAGCCCGTAGAAAGCCAATTCCGAAATCAGTTGGCCCAACCGTCTATAACGTGTCTGCAAACAATTCGATATCCCAATCTAATCCAATCAAAACGACAGGCAAGAATCAAGTTTTGCAACATAATAAAACTATCCAAATAGCAAGCAAAAAGAACGACCATCAATTACCTCCAAAGCCACCAACAGGCCTACCACTACTGCATAAGAAGCCCACAAAAAATCTTATAGACAAAAAGAAGATACAAGCATCGAGACAAGAACAACTTCGTCCAGTGCATCAACCATCAGAAAAGGAAAATGGTAAAACAAAATCTTTCTCCAAGTCCGATAATCATTTAATAAAGCAATCCACCGATATGCAATCTTCCATATCAAACTCTAGCCAGAGTAAAAGTCAAAATTCACCAAAATCAGTAAAGAAAAGTTCATCGAATTCAGTTATAGTGACGAATAAAAAAGCTACAAAAGGATCAAGTAGGAAAGCGAGCAAGGCTCCTATAACTAAAGCCAAACCCAAGGGCAAGAAAATTACCAAAGTTCATGATACTCACAGACCTCCAGTCCATCAACATCAAGAAAAGATTCCAACTGCAAAAGAACTTAATGGCTCTTCGGTTATTTTATTTTGGACCCAATATTATTTATCCTCTTGGAAGATGGAAAATGATTTTACAACTTTATTACCGATGGGTTGGCAATATTTTAAGCAATTTTGCCCTCAGTATCGTTGCTATTTAACTACTAATAAAAATTTATACAACAAATCCGATGCCGTCGTCTTTCATGACCGTGATTTAGCCATAAATTTAATAACGATGCCCAATGCCAGTGATCGTCGTCCACAACAACTTTGGGTTTATTATAATATTGAATCGCCGCAGTTTACTACCTACTTTTATAAACATCCAAAACAGATCCAACAAATCAATTTCAACTGGTCCATGACTTATAGGAAGAACAGTGATATCGATGCTCGCTATGGATACGTTATTCCTCGCATTAAATCAACATTATCATGGATTCATCTATGGTCAATTGATTATCATGGCCGTAAAAAGCATTTAGTAGCATGGATGGTTAGCAATTGCTTAAGCGAACGTTTAAAATATGTCAAGGCATTAGCAAAACATATCCCAGTGAATATTTATGGTCGGTGCGGTCATCATCGATGTCAGCATCCACGCAATGATGATTGCTGGAAATATGAAATGATACAATATAAATTCTATTTAGCATTTGAAAATTCCATATGTACGGATTATATTACTGAAAAATTTTGGTATCCATTGCGCTATGGGATTATTCCAGTTGTCTTAGGTGGCGGAAATTATAAAGAAATTGCTCCACCTCATTCCTATATTGATGCTAGACAATTTCCATCGCTAAAAGCTTTAGCAAACTATATGCACAAAGTAGCGCATAATAAATCATTGTATAACTCTTATTTGCGATGGCGAGATGATTGGGAAGTGGTTATTCCTCGCCATTGGTGTAATTTATGTGCTGCTTTACATCGGCGTAATTCATCATTACATTATACTTATCCATCGCAAAATGATGATTTCGGAGCTAAAGGCAAATCCTCTCATTGCAAATCTTATAAAATCCCAAAATAACGATAACATTGAATAGCTGATAATGGACGATCGCTTGAGATCAATTTTACGATGTAGGACTCATATTATACGTTAACAGGTTAACAGCGTATCCTGCTGATAAAAATTCAACTTCAAGATTTGAAGAAAAATGATATCCGATAGCTGGCAATAAACCATGGTATCAAGGTCTATTTTACAGTTTAACAACATATCCTGCTGATAAAAATACAGTTTCGAGATTTTTATCCGCCTAAAATTCCAAAATAAGGATGAAATCAAATTCAGCAGATATACAAGTACTGTATATCCTACTAATAAGAATTCAATTTCAAGATTTCATAGTTGGCTAGAGTTTTATTGATGATTGTTATAATTGGGTTTGCTCATCGCCTGACTAGGAATTTTTGGTACTCCGATTATTAGTTAAGCAGTTAATGACAAAATGTTAAATAAACAACGTGCGATGGCGTTTAAGAATTTTAGATTAATTTGATTTTACTGAAGGTGTTCAGACGTTATTCGACTTCACATAATATTGATTTGGAACATATGCGTAACAATCCAATCGCAGCCTGATGGCTGACTTACTAAACTGATTCAAGGCTGACTTGTAACGTCAGCGGTTACAGAATATATGCGTTATATCTTCAAGGATGGCGTTGCAGTTACCTGCCATTTTTTTATGCAAAACTACTGATATCCTTTGGCGAATATTAACGTGAATTGTGTAGCGCAGTTATCTTTTAAATATGTGCTTAGTGAAACGGTACACGAAGAAAATATAAAATGTAGCAAAATAATGCCCATGTACTAAATCAGCAATACTAAATCTCGAAACTTGCGTTATGATTAGAGCTGCCAGGTTACAGTCTTTAGTAATATGAACAACGTATCTGCGTATAATACAGCTGCAAATACCAAATGAAAAGTAAAATTGGTAGTGAAATTGCTAGCCAACTGATTGTCAGGATTCAAGGGCAGTGAAAATAATTACGAGTAGGCTGTCTAAACTACGGTAATACGTAAGCAACTAATAACCGAGTTCGGATTCTCCACCAAAGTGTTATGATTGGGTATGCTCATTACCTGACTAGGAATTTTAGGTACTCTGATTGGTAGTTAATCTATTAATGTCAAAATGTTAAACAACGTGCGATGACGTTTAAGAATTTAGATTAATTTGATTTTACTTAAGGTGTTCAGACATTATTCGACTTCACTCAATATTGATTAGGAACATATGAGTAACGATCCAATTGCAGCCTGATGACTGACTAACTAAACCGATTCAAGACTACTTCAACACTGACTGGTAGATTGTACATTATATCTAATGCTCCGGTGTACACTATAATATTATAACAAATCACAACAATGATACAAATCAAGTTGCCAATTTAATACCATTAAGGTTAATGCATTAACTCTATTTAATAATTGCAATACTGTATAAATAATATACGGATAGTATGAAACGATCGGAAATTAAAATTGAATCTAGCTAATCTTGCACGCTTTAAATGCCTAAAATTATAATTGATGTTAAAAAGAGGATGACTGTGAATGCAATATTTCAAATTCGGTATTTGATCTATCTTCTTGTTTTGCATAGAAATGTTTTGACTGATTATTCCGATTTACTACTTGAAAGATTTGACTGGGAATATATTATTTTTCAAATTCGCTTATTTGATCTACCCTTAGATCCTTCATATCGATACTATAACCTCTTACTTCGATTTAGTACGGGTACTTAAAAAGCTTCTGACAGTAAATCTGTCAAATTCTCTTTTCTGATCTACCCTTATGTCTTGCATATCTATGCTATTGCTAGGTCAAATTTACTGAGCTAATAATTTTATAGAAGTATAAACTACTATATACTGTAGGTCATCAAATCATTGCTAATTTTCAATAAAATTGGGTTATTTGTATAAATATCACTTAATTCTAAGCTAGTAAAAGAGGTAGTTACTGTCATGATGGCCATCAATAATTAATCTGTTTAAATGATACAACACTCAAACTAGACTTTAATAGCAGTAAATACCATTATCATGAACAGTAGTTAATCATTCCATTGGCTATCATAGCGCAGCTCTAGTTAAGGAGGAAATCTTCCACTCGATGATTTAGCTGCAGTAAATTGCTGAAATAGATCGAAGCCAAATCCTTGATTCACATTTCAGTAGATGATCATCACTCGAGCTCAATATTGCAAGTTTAAAGTTACTAATTGCAGTTGTGGAAGATCTGCAGTGTGCATTAAGATTGTACTCCTGCTATTCATTTCCCGGACAATTTATTCCTCAAGTTTCTGTCTAAGTTACAATCACTAAAGCCAATTTTAGAAGGGTTGAGATTGAGTTTGCAAACTTGGACTATTTGCAATCGATCCTAGAACAGCTTCTAATTGCAAATACGATGTTAGGTTATAATTTGATAAATCTAAGGAATTGCATGTCCAAGTCGTTAAATTACGAGTATTAAGATTTTTGACGGTTACATGGAATCAAGATATTTGCTTCGTGATACAAAAATTATCGGTTATAATCGTATAATTATAATTTGAAAGAGTTCAGATTAAAGCTAAAGTAATCGTCAGTATTTAGTATACTAAAATGGATTACATATGTACGAAAAACGAGTGATTGTTGCCCACTGCTGTAATATTGCCTGATAATTACATTAATTCTAGTAGAAGCTATATTCGCTATACTTTGCGTGCTCTATATACAGTCTGTATCTACTGTAATTATACTTTACTATTGCTGTAAAAGTAACTATCAACAAGTTATTTAGCTCATAATAATACCGTCAGGTTAATACGCTGAACAGGTATGACAGCATAAACCTATAAGAAGATTTTAATTTCACGCAAAAAAACCCGCGTAGAAATATGAATTGGAAGCCATTTATTTAGAATATTGTTATGCAGTTAATCACTATCTTACACCAAGTAGCAGTTTGTCAACTAAGCCTGGATAAATAAATTAGTTCAATCCACATAGCTTTCAACTGCTCCGTTGCTAGATAACAAACATAAAAATACAAAAAAAAGACTTGACAGTCGACAGATAGCTTCCCGTAGCGAAGGCTACTGCCAATGCACAGCCACATACTATTTTAATTCCAAATCTAGCAACTGTGACCGCAATTGAATAACAGACGATAGTTACTGTTATCGATGTTATACAAAGTTTGATAATAATAAACTCCGCTGTAGTATTACACATCAATCAATGATATATGTGCGCAATTTTATGTTAATAACAATACAATAATAATAATTGATATAATAATAATAATAATAATAATAATAATAGGATATTGAAAGGATGCCGCATAGTCACTTTATCATAATCTATAAATTTCAATTTTGACGATAAATATATACAATAATTAGGATATCTCACATAATACAGTATTTATTATTATTATTATTTTTGCCTAGCAATTCTATGCTTGGTAATAGATTGAACTATATCTTAACATATTCACTGTTTTTTAATTTGGTGATTACATAGAGCTTCCATTGTACTGAATTATAGCAAGCTTTATCTCGTTTGCCTTTATCAGCAGCTTCTACAGTAATAGGGCTGATGTATATATGTATCTGTAAGGCTTAAACGAATCTATTTCATCATATCCAATGATTAACAATCGGATACAATATTACTACATCTAAAAACAAAATATCACTTTTTTCATGTCATGTTACGCCATCCAGACATAGCAAAGCTCCAAATTTTATATTTATGTTGTATCCTTTACCTAAGTTCGTTTGTTGCGGTAGAAATTTATTTTAAATGGTTCTATAAACATCACCATAAGTTATTTACCAACAGTCCCATGATTTGACGATTTACTATAACAATTTCACCCCACTATGGTTGGCATTACCGACGTTATCGATGTGCAAATAATTCATTAAAACAAGATTAACGTAACATTAACTCATCCTATCTTACACACATTCGACATCTTGTTATCATCAATCTTATCGTACATCCAATAAAAATTTCCAAAGTAGCAAATAAAACTTTACACCAATAGATATTTAGTTAACGCCAATAAAATCGTTATTCCCAATGTTTCCTTGCATATCCCTTCTTTCGCGAGAATTTTCTTTTGAATACCGAGGTCGAAAATGCGATTCATTAGCTCTGCTATTTCCATCAAGAATACGATTTCGTGAACCAGATTTATGATTGTTTATCCTTCCACTTACTGGCTTATCATTCATTTGTGTGTAGTGCACGTTCCCAGGTAAAGGTTGAGCAGGAATCATACTTGTATGAACGTAATTATTAGGTGATGGTGCCGGCTGCAAAGGTGTGTAACTAATTCCATCCTGATGAAAGGACTGTTGATTTTTCATATAAGGTTCATAGGTCATCATAGAGTTTACCATACCTAATCAACAACATACCATAGAATAATCTCCGTGTTAGATACTCAAGGTGACTTATCGATTGTTACTTATAGTACAGTACATAATGCAGGACATTCTTATATATACGCACGTCTATGCTACAAGATTAGTTGTAAGCATTACAATAAAGAGAGCCTTACCTTGATTTTGTGCTACAGTCATATTTCCTCCCGATAAGCTTTGATTAACCATTGGTATAGTTGCTGATGAATTACTCATAACGCCATAATTGGCAGTCGGTACTTGCGGTACAATCGCTGATTGTTGAACATAATTCATATTGGTAATTGCTTGGTAATTTGCGCCTTGCTGTTGATTTGTAGCTGGCATCACATTTTGATACATCATCCTCTCTTGTTGCATCGATGAAAAATTTTGTTGAGGATGTTGTTGTTGTAGTATAACTTGTTGCCTTTTTGGCTCCTGCATATACACTACCGTCGGACCGACAGGTTGACCTTGTGCTACATACATCGGTGAATTTTGAGATGGTGAAGAAATATATTGCTGCTGTGAAATATTTTGTTGGTTGCTTCCGTTATTAAGCATTAAATTAACATAATTATCTTGTTGTGGATTTGGAACATTCATAACATGTACTGGATAGTTAGGTGATGCTTGAGGTGATTGTAGAAATTGTGCATTATTCTGATTGACAAGTCTTGGTGATTGGGGTGCAGGCAAGGAGGGTGATGGAGGCTTCGGAACGGAGTAGTTATTATTGATAAACAACTGTTGTTGAAAACTATTACTTAGATTGCCAATACTGGCGGCCATTTGTGATTGCCTTGAATAATGTTGATAGGCTAAATTATCGTTGAGACCAGGCTGTACCAATTGTGGCGTTAAATTACCCGATGGCTGCGCTGTATTTACTTGAACTGCATGCGATAAAATGTTTCCACCAGCACTTGGATAAGGGCCATTCCATACAATCTAGTAAGGATAAATTCAATTTTCAAACGATTGATAAAAAATTTTTGAACAGTAGACAGTCCGTAGTGGAATTCTTAATGAAACAATATATTTAATAATAATATCCTATTCATAATAATTATTACTGCATTACTTGCTGTTGGTTGTTGACATTATTTGGGGGGCGATATACTTGATTTGCATTTCGTATGAGAGCATTTTGATATTTAGGACCCTTGTTATTAATGTTGGCAGATTTATTACCCGAAATTTTATTTCCTTTAGAACGATTGGCCTAATAGCCAAAAAATAATAATAAAATAAAGTCCAAAAAATAAGTGTTACACCTTACACTTTTGATTCATGAAAGCAATACTACGTAAGTATCGTTAAAATGAGTGTTGTTTGAACGAATTTTTTCTTTAATTTCATTAATAAAATTAAAATCGGGAAACCGTGGAATTTTACTCTACAGAGTATTTATTATCATATTTCTTTTCATGTAAATAATAGAGTTATAAAAATTAAACTAAAATTAATTCAATATTTACCTTGTTCGTTGAGTAGGCTTTAGTTGCAGTGGTAGTAGTAGTAGTATTTTCCTTGACAGGAGAAGTACTTATATTTGTGTCACTAATTTTATTGTCTACTTTACTGCTTGTACTGGTATCATCAGGAACATCACAACTAACTTGAATTTCTACACTACCACCACATGTATCAGTATCAACACCACTATCAATTGATTTGACATTACTTTTACTTGTTGACGAATCGGAATTGTTTCTTCTAGTAAGTTTCAACAATTGATTTTCTTTCTTGCGTTTAGTATCCATATCGTTAGAATGATTAGTGTCTGTAGTTACAGCTGAATTGAACTTTTCACCGTCGTCACCAGTAGCCAAGGCAATAACTGGAGCTTTCTTACATTCTGAAGTAGCGGAGTTATCAAGCGTTGAATCAGTACTTGTCCAACCGCCGACTTCGCTATCTGAATGCCAACCCTTGGAACTAATTCTCTTACTTTCATCGTCTAGTCTATAAATGTTGTTTATTTATAGTAAAATAGATTTTCTCCATTTAAGACTGAATACAATAGGCTCACGAAAAACAATATAACATTGACAAATACCTATCAAATGAGGCGTGTGATACATTGAACTAAAATAATAGTCAGCCAGGAAGACAAGATACCGAGAAATGAATAATAAAATTTTAATAACCAATTGTAACAATCACTTTGACTAATAGGCGGCTATGACGTAAAAAATATTTATTAACCATAAAAGGATAAAAAATGGCTTACATTTTGGTTGAATATCCGAGCACGAGCTTTTTCATATTCTTCCTCTCGCTCTTCAATAGATTTGGATCGTTTTTCTGTTAAGTTTTCACCTTGATTCTAAATAAGGATGCAAATTATATGTCAGGAAATAATGTTCGCCTCCAAAACTGATAAACTTTTCAACGCTATTATTAAAAGGGACACATGATCATGTCGATAATTACTCGAGATGCATTAGGGTTGATATTTTTATCTTCGAAGGCAGCAGGCTGGCGTTTCAGGATAGCTTTAGGTGGTAAGGAGGCGGTATTGGCTTCAATATTAGCAATAATATCTTAAAATTCTGCACTAATCTACTACAGAAAGGAAAGTAATAGAAAGAAAGGAAAGGCTTAAAATCGGAATAGAAGGCATTCATAAAATCAGTATATCAATTTATATTTATAGGATTGTCATGAGAAAAATTCACTTCAGTAATACAAGGATGTTGTATTAATTAGTCAAGATCGAGAAGTTTAACTGATCTCGATCCAATTTACTATACATACAGTATAGAAGGATAGATGATCTCGTCAATATGGAGATATATTATACTGTATACGGGTATACTAAATAAATAATTACGTTACTAACTCTTCATTGAAATGAATAATATATTGCTATGTTGCGCACAGATCAATATTAGCTATAGTTACTTGTTAAGAAATTCAATGGTGTAGAAATCAACTTACTGCCTTGTATTTGGTACTTTAGTAATAATGACTGCTTTGCCTGATGCATCCACATTATGTTCCAAACCAAAATATGCAGCAACACGATGAATGACCATCCTATAATAGGAGGTCATTGGTGGGCAAATTTTGGATTGTAACTTATTATCGGCCAAAAATGCTCGAATATCTTCTTCCACACTTAATAGAAATGTCCGTAACTTTGGATCTTGCAATTTTTCGTATACGAAAGCGCGAACATCATTACCGCTATTATCTGTATAACCAACTTGTTCTGTTGTACATGTCGGCACTTAAAAATCAATCAAAATGAACATTCTATGTTTAAAATACAATTTCATGATTGAACTATTGTATCTGGCGTAAAAGTAGTTTTCAAGCAGTATATTTTAGTAGTACTATAGTAGTAGTGGTGGTAGTATGAGTAGAAATCGTAGTAAGTATACCATTGGACGTTTCATTTATTGTTTTTGCACTGGTTGATTCGCTCGCGATGGAATTGCTACTACTGTTGATGTTACTTGTGCTAGGCTAGAAGAATTGAAGTATCAAAATGAAGGAATAAGACTAGAGAGCAATAAAATAAATGAATTTCACCCTATTGATTAATAAACGTCTCTTATTGCAGATTGAGTATACATACTTGCCTTGATAGTCAAAAGCATGATAGTCATAAAACTCTATTATTTAAACAGTTTAACCTTTCTTCTTACCGTTGCATTAGTAGTAGTCGATGGTGGCAATGTTGTACTATCATATAAAGCGTGACTTCTTGGTAATGTTTTGAATTTGGGATGAGACTAGTCATCGTCATTGCAACATAAATACAAAAAAAAACGCATAAGAAACTAGCTGTATTGATCGATGACATTACCTATTGTATTGCAATGGAATAATGCAACAAAAACACTACTAAATTCAAGTCATTAATACACGTATATATATATTAAAATCAATGATATTGTTAATTAATACTTACAGTACGTGACGTTGTCACATTGGACGAATCCTCTTCATTGGATAATCTATCAGCATCCGTATTACTATTAATCTAATAGTCAAGTAAATAGTTATTTATAATTTTCATCTTTTCCATTTTTTTTGTATATATACAACTGATATACAAGATGGATAACTTTACAATAGAAGCAGAGTTAATGTTAAACAGTTATCAACAACTTTTATGCTAGAACGTAATTTAGCATAGCCATTCATTGTTATCTAACATGATTGGAAATTAAGTAACACATCGATATAAATATATATCTTTATCCATTTATCTATCCATAGAGATGGGGTAAGAGAAGCGAATAAGTCAAGTTACTACTGTAGTTTAGGTGGGTATTTTATAATCCAAATCCATCATGGATACTACCCAGTCATGCTAGTATAGAATTAGCCTATTACAATACTATTAATCCATATCGAGCATTCTTGTACAGTGAAAAACGAACCTGTGTTTCATCCAAGACGTTGGGTTGTTCAGCCATATTTTTATTTCTCTTAATGATGGCTTGTTTTAATTTCTCAAAAAAAGGATAACTGCAAGGATAAAAAAAAATCCAACATTTATTGATTTGAAACGATAATGAAAGTTGTACACTATTCTATTGTCATTTATAATAAGATTAAATAACTTCATATTGACATCTTTAGAATAGGACAAAATGATCGATAAAGGAAATGAGTACGACCAAGGTGAAACTAGACGCTATTTTATAATTAAGATTATTATGAAGGAGAGAATCGAAGTTGTAGTCGGTGTGCCGACAAGAAAATAAAAAAAAATTTAAACTCAAACGGCATCTTCAATGTATTATTATTATGAAATTAGAGTATTGTAAAATAACGGATGCGAATTACTGCACATGTATTTCCTATATAGTGGTATCACTAGAAGTGTAATCTTACCGTCAATAAAAGCACATACACACAAAATGCAACTTTTTCTCCTTTCAATGATAACTTGAAGAGTTGTAGTTGTTTTTCCGCTCTTGTAAACTTTTGCTTCTTTGGAACGATTGGATTGGATTTGATGATCGTCTTGGTCGCCTCTTCCTAGTTGGAAAAAGAGGATAACCTATACCCAATGATCTGTAAACTTGCAAAGTTGATTTGAAGTACCCAATGAATAATAATAGAATCAATTGCTTGTACGTTAAATTAACTTGAATTTCTATAACGATTTAATGAAACATGATCGGCTTGTACATTATATTTCAGTCACTTCATCCATGCCTTTAGATGAGCAGCCAAGACATAGGAAAAAAAAACGAAAGTACAGCTTCAATTGAGTTGTCAAGAAGAGAAAAAAACAAGAGAGAATCAATGTTTCAAAAGGTTGATTCTTGTCGAGTGGCATATCGAAATGTCATGTGTAAGTGTTGTGTCTACGTCAACACATTATATTATTATCGTCGTTGGATACCCTATCGATTGGCAGTGCTGTAGGTTCTCTATTCCTCATCTTTCAAATACTCCATCTCCAACGAGATCGATAGCATCACAAGTGTGTAGAAATGTCCGTTGTTCATCGTTATGAACAGATATGTCTTATTGGAGAATAATCAAGGTGCACAGTAATCACGTATTCGTGTCGAGATCGACAGAGCATAGTATCATCAAGGAAGATTACTGAGACCCTGATCCTAAGTTTCTCCGGGTCTTCAAGTGTATATCAATTAAGGGTGACGAAATGCAATCCGATGGACATTTTCAAATTAACTACGCATCCTTTTTTTTTACCTGAAAGTGTCGGTAGTGTAACAAAATGGTTGTCATAGGCAGAGTCAAAGCCAACCTGAGAACTAGTCAAGGGAATGGTGCTAATTTTTCAATCAACCTGATTGATAAAAAAAAGAAAAGCCATTTGAGCTTCGATGGAAGAAAAAAAAATAGGAATACCTTGAAGATGAATGCTAACTTTAGATAATCATGTAGAGGTTACCATGGATAATCTATTTTTTTATTTGGTGGGCGTATAAAGACATTTATTTGTCAGTAGGAACAGGACCAAATATTAAATAATAGCTAATAAAATTACAAGCAATCGACTTTACTTCCACTTCAACGGGAGTGTAGAAATGAATAAATGATTTTATTATAACTAGAAAAGGATTGGATTTTGCATGGAGTTGATGTCGATGTTGTTGATGGAAAGCAAGGTAAGCATGTTATTTCTTTCTAGCTAATTCTAGCGGGTGAATGATACAAGGATGATGATAGGTCTAAAAGGAGAACATGTGCTGCTAGTAATTTTGACTGTTAATAAATGATGATTATCCATCTGCATCAACAGTAAGTTGGTTAGTGATGATGACGTAAAACAAAGCCAGACAATTTAATATATAATAGCTTGTCCTGCATTATCTATACATTGACTTGAGTTATAGCAATGTAAAGAAAGAGGAAAAAAATTAAAAAATTTTACGTCAATGTTCACAACTTTTACACCAATCACAAGCATAACTGATGGACTTATTGATTAACAAATTATCGATTCAAGACTAGAGTTAACAGTAGGTAATGCTATAAATAGTACAGGATGTCAAATCTTGACAATATCATTTCCTGACATTTAAAAAAAAAATTAAAAAAATAAAATAAAAAATAAATAAATGCGAGTTTACTCTATTAGGGATCCACTAGATTAGGTGACGAGCAAGAGTTAACAAGATCGCTTCCAACCACACGGTGGCCATCAATATGATTGCAATGGCTATGCATTGCCTTGTAAAGGCAATTTCGACCTATTCTAGTAATCCAACTCTTTATTGGACTATCGTTGGATGGACAGTAGATACTTTCTCTTTGCTACCTGACAACGATGATGATACTGTTATGGAATGGCCATTAGTTTAATGGCAAACCCACGATAACAGAATCAATCATCATCACTTGATTAACTGCAGACCCGGTGAACAAATAGTCAATTTTATTTTATCAGTAGAACTCTTGCTACATTATTCTACATGGTCAATGAATTCTATTCTATCCACACAGTCGATAACTTACAAATCGTCCATTTCAAAGTCATTAGCATAAAGGGACATGAAGAAAATAGAGTTACAGTCAAGAGCAATACAAGGTCGATTGGGGATAAAAGAATCTATTGGTCATAGAAAAGAATACCCCACTAATTATTTATACATGGACTCAATACTGTAGGAAATGATATGGAATTTAAAATAGACATGATGAGGGCTCGTAGTGCATATTGTAGTCGGCACAAATGTCCGGAACTGTATTGTATAATTTCACTCCTTGTGACGTCAAATGATGAAAAGAGCTAATTTTCCAACATTCAAAATGAGGAAGAAGATAAAAAAAGAATAAAATCATCATTTTGACGTGATTAATCAATCTATTTTTGTCATTGCTGTATCTTTTCAACATTTCAACGGCCATTAAAGATGGTGGTCATCAAGGCCTTGATAGAGCATTTCCATGTCGTTTTGATAGTATTTCAAGGTATGCGATCGGATTGTAACAACTCGTTTATTTCTTCTTCATCGTTACCCGTCCACTTCAGTAGAAGATATCTCTCATCTTGAGTAAAACAATCTTATCTATGAGTATGTAGTCTTCAGTGGATTTGAGGGTTGGTGAGACAGCATCAAGTCATTCATGTGCTTATTTTAATAATCGGATCCTGTCTACTTTACATTTGATTCATCAATTTGTTCAATAGTACTGTATAGTAGATACCAAAAATAAAGTAATGAATAGCTCAAAGTTGGGCCAATAACCCTTACCATTCCAATTTCTCATGGGCATAGGATTACCTCTACAGTAGAAGGGAACTTCTCTACTCGTAGTCCTTGGATCATCCATCTTGATTCGAAAGCACAATATCCCTAACTCGTCTATTCCACTTAAACTTGAGCTGCAAGAACTTTTCCTTCAAAAGTAAATCGACTATGACTTGATGCTCAACACTCTCCATAAAGATGATTCCAACCAATAGCTTATGATGGTTATAATAAAATCCCGTCTAGCTAGCATCGACATTGAAGGTAATCATCCTTCCTGACACTCTCCCTTTTTAGCTATTCAGAATCTTATGATGTAGCAGACTAGCTGCTCTCTCTCTCTATGGATGATGCAAGTATTTTAATACCATTACACCCCAGGCGTTTGTAGCCGTAGATTGGATGTAAGCAACTAGGTAGAGGCAGTATCTTTCGTATTGGCTACGCTGGGACAGTTATACTGTATGAACTCATCGAAATAAAGTTGCATTCATTTCAAATTGATGATG